GCAGGTAATGTAATTAACATGCGGTCTACGCAAGTAAGAAAATGATTACAAACATGCGGTCTACGCAGGTAATGGAATTAAACATGCGGTCTACGCAGTCAAAACATGCGGTCTACGCAAGCAAAACATGCGGTCTACGCAGGTAATGGAATTAAACATGCGGTCTACGCAGTCAATGGAATTAAACGTGCGGTCTACGCAATCAAAACATGCGGTCTACGCAGGTAATGGAATTAAACATGCGGTCTACGCAGGTGATGAAAATAGTAATGCACAAAACCGCGCAACGAAATGCAATGCACAAAACAGTGCGACGATTTGAAATGCACAAAACAGTACGACGATTTGAAATGCACAAAACAGTGCGACAGTTTGAAATGCACAAAACAGTGCGATAGTTTGAAACGTACAAAACAGTGCGCCGATTTGAAATGCACAAAACAGTGCGACGGTTTGAAATGCACAAAACAGTGCGATGCGCAGAACAGCGCGAACAATTTTGAAATGCACAAAACAGTGCAATGCTAAGTGCGATACGCATGCCACACGGAGTGTAAGTGGGCTTAAATGCGCAACAACGCACGTATTCCGGAATGCATGACAATGCATGGAATGGAAATGCAATGAGGATGCATGAGAAATGTGCACGACGATGCAAAGGGGTGCGTGTTGCAACGCATGTAACACGTGCATAACAATGCAAATGTGTGGCGCACGACAGCGCGATGCAATGCACAGAAGTAGTGTGACGAACTCGTGCAACACACATGGGGGCAACTATTGAATTTAAAAGGATACAAAAAGGATACACCTTGTACGAATTCGAGTGCCACGTACTGGAGACACGGCCCGAAGTCAAAACGGAGGCCGGTTGAGCGTCGAAGATGCACTTCCTTGCACTTTCTTGAGCTATGAAGACCCAAAACAACTCAAATGGCCTAACCAAGGCTGTGGAAACCCCACCGGCCGAAAGGGGAGGCCACCGGCTGGCCACCGGCATAAAAATAATTCCATCGGCACAAAAAAGTGCCGGCCGGCACAAAACATTGCCGACCGGCAAACAGTTGCTGGTGCGGGGCAGTTTTGACTTTTCACCTTGGGTGTTATAAAATAGGGTTTCAAAACCCTATTCCTCACTTCTCCACCGCCGAAAACCTTCACACTCTCTCTCTAGAGCGTTTTTCCTTCCCCGTTTCTCCGTTTCTTCGCGTTCTACGCCCGTTTCGTCGTCGGATTCGCGTTTCTCTTCGCGTTTCGGACGTTTTCCACTGATCACATTCTCGTTTCGGTGCCTCGTTTGGCGTTCTCGCTTTTCGGGGTTTGTTCCCCTCACTTTCCTCTTCATTTCCGTGCCTTTTCACATTCCGGCCTTCCCGGTCATTTCCGACCCTCTCGGGAGTTGACTTTTTGGTTGACTCTTCGTATTCCGACTCGTTTTTCCTTTTTCGGGCCATTATCACATCATTCTCTACATGGCGGATGACATTCCATGTGGCGGGACTCCCCCGGACCACGAGATGGATCCCGGGGTCGAGCTCTTACCACTGAGCGAGCGCCCGTTCGACCCGGCGACCTACCGGCCGGCGATCCATGTTCTGCCCCCAGACGGCCTGCGTCAGTTCCGGAGCTTTGAGAGATTGCAACTTTCCCTATCTTACCAACAGGGTGATATACTAGGTTGGTTCAGTATCCAGAACTGAGGCGTAGACATGCCGCCTCAACCTATGGGGCTTCCATACAGATTTCAAGCCGAGGGTAAACCTCTGGGTATTTATAGGCCGTAGTTGACTGTAAACATACATACAACTGATATCTGTT